TCCACCGATGCCGTCACTCCATCATAAAAGGCCACCAGATTGGTCAAGCATGACCTTCCTCTGGTGAAGTTCTGAACTCTGTATGCTCTCGTAGGATGGGATATGGGCTTCTTCACACTTGCAATTCAGAGATGTCCCTGATAGGAAGGCTTCATCCATGGGACCGGGTGTGGGCACCTACAGGGGAAGAGCAGTGATGGTCCTTGGAGCTTTATAAACAAAACGGTCCAAAATGGACCAACAAGGCTAGAAGCTGGGCTGGGCAATAGGTTGTAGGGGAATCAGTGTTGGATGGAGGTGTTTAAATTCTGCCTAAGCCCTTCTTCTGGTACTGAAGTCCTTTATAGGAGCTCTTAATGCAACTATTTCCATTCCCCATTGAATTCTGGCAATCGGTAATATTTTAACAGTAAAGAGCTAAGGCCTTTATTAGCAGGATGTTGTGCAAGTAGGGAACAAGCAGCCACAAGTGCAATGTGACTCTAGGGGCCAAGAATAAAGCTTCAGAAAAAGTCTTTAGGGCTTTGAATCCCCCAAGGAGAGAGAGCACTTGAGGGAAGAGACTGAAAAAAAAAAATAATAATTGTGAACTTTAAATGTCACACATCAGAGCTATGCATGGGTTTGTTGTGAATGTGTTACTGTAGCACCTGCTGGCCCTGGTGAGGATTCCTCTGGGATGCATAATCACAGAGCACACTGTGGCCAAGAAGAAATTACAGCTCGTGATCCGCAATATATGAAGGGGGAATAATGACAGACTCGGCCAGGTGAATGCTGCTTTATCCATACATGCAGGCTGCACGGACGCTTTTGTGTCTTTGTTTCCTATTTGTGTTGGCTCTATAAACATCAGCACTCCCTCACAGCTCCGAGTCCGGCCATTAAAGTTGGCTGTTCCGAGGGTGTCATTGAGGTACCCTGAAATAGGGATTTGAAATAGGAGAAAATAATAACAGCTTTGGCTCAGGCTACTGTAAACTGGGTGGGCTGAGGGACACATTTACATTTAGATTGAGCCTCTTCACATCTTCTCCGAGTAATTGTAAACTCTCTTCTGCTTCAGCCCTGGAAAGGAATCTCGGGAGCTCCGTGCTGCCAAACTGTGCCTTGCACTTTGTAAAACATGTGATACCTAATCTAGGCAGTCAGGCTTAGCATCTACTTTTCATAATTATTTGTGCAAATACGACTCGGTTATCAAATGTCTGTGTTAATCAGACAAAGGGTATTGGCACTGCCAAAATAAATTTGTTGTAAAAGTGTTATGTCTGATTATATGTGTTATTCAACCAACACCCCGGCGTGCTATTATGCTGGGAGCCACACAAGCATGTATGAAACCGTTCCCCCACCAGGGAGTGTATGACTAATTTACGATAAGAGACAACAATTGGACATTACAGGCAAATAAAAAGAACAGGAGAGGAGAATGAGAGTAAGCAGGGCAGTTGGTGCCTGCGTGTTCCTGTGAGAACCATTAGAGAGTCTGAAGTAAAGGGAAAAAAATTATTTGATATAAATAAATGTGAAATGTGATAGCAGCAATCCTTACTGGGCATTTGCCCAGCCCAGTGCAGATTTCTGTGGCATGTACTTAGCTTTCAAGATGGGGTCCTATTCTTGCTCAGGCTTTTATGGGGTTATCTGCTCTCTTTTATGGGGATATCTGCTATAGAATCATACAATCATCTAGTCCAACCATCGACCCATCCCCACCATGCTACTGACCACGTCCCTCAGTGCCACGTCCACATGGTTCTTGAACATCTCCAGGGATGGTGACCCCACCACCTCCCTGGGCAGCCTGTGCCACTGCCTGACCACTATTTTGGAGAGGAGATTTTTCCTAATATCTAACCTAATAACAATAACAACAACAAAATTGCATTGAGGGTAAGCAAAGCAAACAGGACTCTATTTGGCACTCAGGTGTCCCAGGTTACTTCCCCTAGCTGATTTTCCAGCCTTTCATGCACACTTCTTTCCCCACCTCCTTAATTCTTTTCCCTCCAGTGCAAATAATTCAGGCGCTGTCTCTCAGCCATTGTATGTGGAAAAGTGGCTTATCTCGAGCCATGCTTTTCCCTTTCATTTTCCTTTTGAACTGAAGTGTTACAGTCATGGAGCAACCGAGTCAAAACACAGTACCCGTAAGTTATTGCTGTGCAGTTCCCCTTTCATCACAGGGCTACAACACGTTGCAGAACTAAATGGGGTGATGGTCTGCTCCTACAAGTTGTAACATCCCAAGGGAGAGAGGCAGCACATGAGAGCAAAGCTTTCTGATAGCTATCATCTAGGGCAACATCCATAAGTTTTAATATTTCTATAATAATTAGTACTTCCACAATAATTTGTGTTAGGATGACATACAGATGGATGACTTCCCTCTAGAAGTCTAGAGTCTAGAATCTTTAAGGTTGGAAAAGACCAGTAAGATCATCTAGCCCAACTGTTAGCCCATCACCATGCCCACTAACCGTGTCCCTTAGTACATCTACACGTTTATTGAACACCTCCAGGGATGGTGATGCCACCACCACCTCCCTGGCCAGCCTGTGCCACTGCCTCACCACTCTTTCTGAGAAGAAATTTTTCCTAACATCCATCCTGAACCTCCCTTGGTGCAACTTGAGGCCATTCCTCTCATCCTACCCCCACCATGCCACAACATCCTTTCAGGTCATTGTAGAGAGCAATGAGGTCTTCCCTGAGTCTCCTCCAGATTGAACAATCCCAGTTCCCTCAACAGCTCCTCATAACACTTGTGCTCCAGACTCTTTAAAGCTTCATTGCCCTTCTCTGGTCACGCTCCAGAGCTTCGATGTCTTTCTTGTAGTGAGGGGCCCAAAATTGTACACAGCACCAGAGCTGAGTACAGAGGGAGTTCGCTGCCTTTTCTCCTCCCTAGGGCATTCCGTGCACATTTTTAAGGGACTTTGCCACGGAAACGCTCCGGGTACACCGCTGGCTGCAGACCAGCGATACCTGTTGCATCGGTAGCGCGCAGCAGCAGCGGTTCCTCTCTCCAGCGGGAGAAACCGGGAATTATCTCAGGAAACCCGCGCGGCTGGCGGCAGAGCACCGATCACCCCCACCCTCGAAGCCCCCCGGTGCCCGGACCCCGTTTGCCAGCGACGCGCGGCGCCATCCGGAAACACCGCCCCGGGCGGAGCGCTGCGCCCCGCGGGAGGGCAGCGGCGGGGGGCGGAGCGGGCGGGCGCTGCGCGCGGGCGGGGAGCGGCTCTGCCCGAGCGGCCGCGGCTCCGCGCGGCTATTTCAGGAGCGGGGCGGGGGCGGCCGCGCCGGGGCTGCGGGCTGCGCTCGGAGGAAAGGGGTTCGGGCGGCATCGGGCCGAGCTGGAGGGGAGGAGAGAGGAGGAGACGGCTATTGCTGAGGGAATTGGGTTCGTTTCATAGAAACAAATCAGTGCTCGGGAGCGAGCGAGGAGGAGGAGGAGGAAGAGAAAGGAGGAGGAGGTAGGGGGGAGGGCAGGAAGAGAGGGATAGAGCGAGGAAAGTGTGAGGGCTGTGGCAGGGAGCAGCAGAAGTGATGAGAAAGAGAGCGGGGAGGCTCCAGGAGGCTGCCCGAGCCGCCGCCGCGCTGCGCAGCCCCCGCCGCCGGCAGCCCCTATGGAGGCGCTGAACGGGGCCGGCGAGGCGCTGCGACCGCCGCCCGCCCACCTCCACCCTCACGCCGAGAAGAAGCGGCCGCACCGCGCCCCGTCGCCCGCCAGACCCTTCCTCAAGGACCTGCACGCCCGCGCCGCCGCCAAGCCGCCGCCCGCGCCCCCCAAATCCCCCGCGCTGTCCGGCCGCCCCCCGCCGCAGCCGCCCTCGCCGCAGCCCGGCGCCCACCCGCCGCCCGCGGGGCTGCTCTCCGCGCCGAGCCGCCTCTCCCGGCGCCCCGCCGCCCCCGGGGCCAAGGCCGCTCCCGCCGCCGTCGCCGGCAGAGCGGGAGTCAAGGCCGCCCCCTGCGCCAAGCGGGTGCCCCGTGGACCGGAGCCGGCTCCCTGCGGCCGCGGCGGGGGACGGCAGCCCGGCGGCGGCGAGGCGGCCCCGTCGCCCGGCAAGGGCAGGAAGGCGAAGCGGGGCGGCGCGGCGGGAGGAGGAGGCCATGCGGCTGCGGCGGCGGCGCTGGCCCGCGTCGGGCACACGGACAGCAGCTCCGACCTCTCCGACTGCCCCTCCGAGCCGCTGTCCGACGAGCAGCGCCCGGCCCCGGCCGCCAGCAGCGACGCCGAGTCCGGCACCGGCTCCAGCGACCGCGAGCCGCCCCGCTCCGTCCACGTCCCCGGACGCGGAGCGCCGCTGCCGCTCCCCGGTCCTCGCGGGGAGCTCGCGGCCTCGGGCGCGGGGAGAGCGCCGAGCCGCGGGGAGCAGCGGGCGGTCCCGGAGGAGCTGCAGCGGGAGGTGGAGGAGCTGCGCTCGGAGAACGAGTACCTCAAGGTGAGCGCTGCGGGGAGCGGTCTGAGGCCGGGGGCTGCGGCGCCGTGCGAAGGGCGGAGGAGGGCTGGGGGCGGTTTCGGGGCGCTGTGTAGGGGAGGTGGGGGAAGGCCGGCGCAACACGTACTGCGCCGGTGCTGTGCTGGTTGTTGCGATGGCTCGGCGCTGCCCGGACTCTGTCCAACGCTCCGAGCGCTCCGGTGGTCAGCGAACCCTGGCTTTCCAGGAACGGTTTTTCTCAATATCGCCCTTTAAAATACGCCTAAGAAAGACGTTTTCTCCTTTGATGGGGAGAGGACGACAGCGCTCTGTGTGACTTAGTGCTGAAAGTCCTCCGGCTGCGCGCTGCTGCCGGGATAACGCCGGCAGAGCCGAGCGCCGCGGGTGCGGGAGGGCGGCGGGCAGCGCCGGTCCCCGGTCGGGACAGTCGAGTGCGGGCGTGCCCCGAGAGCGCTGCCCCGAGGAGCCTTTCGGTTAGAACATGATCTTTTGGCACGGCGGGAGGCCGCGTCCATAAAGATCTATAAATAAATAAACTCGCATCATCCCGTAACCGCAGCTACCCTACGGCGTGAGCCTGCTGCTGGTAGGCACGGCGTTGGTTCCACGAGTTCTGCTCAGATGAGGTGCAGCCTTGGGAGGGAGAAGAAGGAGGGCGGCGGTGCGCACCGCTCTCTTTGAGGGCTTTGGGCCAAGGGACGGTGCTCGGCACAGCAGAAGGTGAACGGTGCGAGTGATGCTGCAGGGTTGGTTCCCCGGGGCTGGTGATGCTTAGTGAGATGGAAAAAGGAGTGAGCAATGATGCAGCAAAATTTTCAGGTGGCACGAAGTTGTTTTTTTTTTTACCTGAAGTTCTGTCCGGTCTTTGCCAGAGTTGATGTAAACAGAGGTTTGGCCCCTGGGAATGGCAGAAAAATGAAGGCTGAGGTCATGGAATAAATCTCAATACTGAAAATACGAAGTGTTTGGAGAGAAGTAGGGTGTAGGCTTCAAATGCGTTGCAGTACCTCAGGAGTGTTCTGAGAGCGGGAGCAATGCAAATCTCTGCTCGGTGTGAAAGTGTGGGCAGAATGGGTTTGGTTTCGTTGAGAACTGAATAAACAAAACCATTATAGGCATTATAACGTTGTATAGATCCACAGCTGCTGTGTGGGTCTGTAGGTATGCCTGAAATACTGTGGGGCACCGTTGGTCATCCAGGAAAGGATAACACAGAACTAAACTGATAAAAATAAGTGGGATGTAGCAGAGCTGTCGTAACACTCATTGGATGAAAAACACTGGGCTGTATCATAGAAGTGTGATAGCAGTCTGTAAAACGATGAGTAGCACAGAGAGCCTTCATCAGAGGCTCTGTTTTACTCGGCAGCCCGGAAACAAGAGGAGAGGGGATGAAATCTGGGCTGATAACAGGAACTGCTGTTAGGAGTAGGCAGACTGGTGCTGCTGGCAGAAGTCAGGAAGCCCAGAGCCCACGGGAGCCCAGGAAAGTGGTGGAACATCTCTTTGCCTTGTAAGATCTTCCTAAGTACTGTACTGAGACTTTCACCCCTTGAGAAGAATGTGTCAATCCTCCTGTTTCTTATAATTGTAACAGATAATTTGTAACAGTTCAAAGGTGGGAAAACAGGGATAGTCTGGTGACTGAGGGTTTGGCGGTGGTGTGACTTAGACAAAGAACTTAATTTCATACTGTTTCAAGCTTCTCACTCCATGTGGCTTCAGGTCTTTCCCCTTGATGCCTTTATCATCTGCTGTGGTGTGACCCAACCCTACTCAACCTCAGGCCACAAGTATTGTAGACTTTGGTAGAATAACGCAGGCTGCTTTCTTAGGGATCTGTGTCCTAGCTGATTTCCAATGGATGTTTGCTGTTTGGATATTAGGAAAAATGTCCTTTCAGAAAGAGTGGTGGGCAGTGGCACAGGCTGCTCAGGGGGGTGGTGGAGCCACCATCCCTGGAGGTGTTCAAGAACTGTGTGGATGTGGCACTGAGGGACATGGTCAGTGGGTACGGTGGTGTTGGGCTGATGGTTGGGCTAGGTGATCTTAGTGGGCTTTTCCAACCTTAATGATTCTATGAAATGATTGTGTGGTCCTTCTCTTCTCGTGGCTACCTGGGTGCATGAACCCTTGGAAGCATTGCTCCTTTCTTGGGTCATTTGGAATTGGCACAATGGCTCAGAAGTTACCAGGAGTATTCCCAAACTTTCCCTTGCTAAGGAAGTCTGTGAAAGCACTCCTCTAGCCTTCTGCAAATTAAAACCACAGCACTGCATGAGCTGTTGATTTGTGGGTTTGTTCCGTGTGTCTCTTACAAGGCAGCTCTCTCGCCTGGTAAAAAACTGGGCTTTGTTTCTTGTCTATGTGGAGAGGGTGACAGAATAATGAGGAAGCTGTCAGCCCAGAGGAGACAAATGATTAGATAAATCCCTGAAGAACATGTTAATTTCCTGAGCGTGTCCATATGCTGAATTTTGTACTTTTCACTCCTCCTTTTCCCTCCCCACATCTGGAATGCAACAGTAAGTGCACATGATTTTAAAGCCTATTTCAGGGGAATTTGTTTCACTTAGGAAGGACTCTTACGTATCTTTCTCATATCTGCAGCACGTTACAGAATGTAGTGTGTGTATATAAGTGTGAATATACATATACACAAAGATTTACTTAATGCTGAAATTTGGCACCTTGTGTGTTTCCAGGCATTGTGCTTTTACTGGAGAAGAGGATCTGGCTCTAGAGGTAGAACCACGGATTATCCTGAATTGGAATGAACCCATAGGGATCGTGGAGTCCAACTCCTGACTCCACACAGCACCACCCAAAATTCAAACCCTGTTTCTGAGAATAGTGTCCAGACACTTCTTCAGCTCAGGCAGCTTGGGGCCCTGACAGCCTGTTCCATGTTCACCACCTACTGGTAAAGAACCTTATTCTAACAACTGCCACCCTGACCATCCTGTCGTGGCTTCATGCCAGCTGGCTGCAAAGCGAGGCACTTGCACAGATTGGCTCAGGATTGCATTGTGAAGACTCTCTTTTAGTCTGCTAAATTTCATCTCAGATTTCAGTTTCATGGACTTCTTGCATAACCTTACTGCAGCTACCTGTGCAGTAAACCACTGTGCAGGGAAGCTGTAATGTTACAGCAGCGTGTGAAAGGTGTCACTTATTTGCTGAGGCAAGAATGAAGTTCTATCATGGGCTGCCCCTGTGAAGCCTGAAGGTTGTTGGCAGATGCTAGGGAAAGTGCAGGCTGGGTGACCACCAGGCAGTGCTGTCCATAAGAGCAAACAGTGCCCTCTCAAGGGGCTGTCCTTCAGCGCTGAGGTCTCAGCATTTGGAGAGCCATCCTGCTCTATGCAAATCCCGGGGGATACAGATAGAGTTTCTGCATGTTGTCGGTCCCTGTGAAGGATCAGAGATCCTGAGGAAGAAGGACCAAGTTCTGGCAATTAAGAATCTTCTTGCTTCATCTTGGCAAAAGTTCGTTTCAGGCTGTTCTGATTAAATAAGCTTGCTAGCAGAAACAGCAATGATATTTTAGTCATGAAATATAAATTTGACACGTGCTTCTTCTCTGTTTACGCCCTTCATAGCCAGTATCTGAAGAAGTCTTCTCTATGAAGCACAGCACTTCTCACTGTCCTGAAAATACCCCGTGTCACTTTGCAGTGCTGTTTGCGAGCATGCTGGTACGAGTTCAGCTTGCCCTGAATGCTGCAGCAGCGTGCATCTGCACAAAAATTTATTCTAAACTCTCTGAGATTTCATAGATATCATCTGGTTTATCTTGGTCTGTCTTTATTCTTTCTATGTTCGCTTTTATCTGTGACATGTAGAGGATATAAAGTGATTAAGTGGCCACTCCTGGCACCTCACTGCACTCGGATACATCTCCAGGATGCTCATTTTTGTTTCAATGTACAACATGTCTCATATAAAGCTATCCTACTTTTCCCAGCTCCCTTGAAACAGTAGATCCTCTCGAGGTGAACTTCACCTTCAGCTGTGGATCTCGGGGATCTGTGCAGAGGAAAATAATGCAAAGCACTGGGACCAAATGTTTCACCTAGCAAGGATCACAGGTGTTCCCAAAATGGGGGTTGCCCTCATCTGTGTGACAGAGGCAACCAGCAGAGGAGGTGCTGGGATGGGAACAGCAGCAGTGCCTGAACAGAGCAGGTTGGTGTGAGGCTCCAGGGCTTCTTGAACTTGCTTTGCAGGAGGCAAAACTCAAGGCTGCTGCTTTATTTGCAGCCAGAGCCTTTTAGAGCGTGTTTATCCCTGCTGCAGTTGGTGATGTGCTAAGGGGAAAGTGTTTATTCCCTAGCAGTAACACCGTCTCCTACGTAAAGACAGTTCAGGATGTTTAAAACGTGTAAACGAATATTACAAAGAATCACAATGTATGAATCTTAGGTTTCTCAAGGACTTTCTAGAACTCCTGGATGTGCCGGCACCGTAGCAATTGCCCACGGTAATTTCCGCCTCTCCTTGCTCTCATCTCATTTGACTTAGAGTTTATTAAAATAACCTTTTCTTTAAGAAGAGGTACTGGCATAAGCTGTAAGTGTGACTTCTAGCTAAATTAAAAAATAGGCTTTTTTTACATAGAAGATTGAATTTCAACCTTCAGTTGCATTTGCTTTAAATACTGTACAGTGGATTGGTTTTGCACATTTCAGTCTCTCCTGTTTGCAGATGTTACTGAGTTACTATGTGGCTTCTGGACACTGATACATTCCTGGTTTGCAGATGTTACCATCTGGACACTGATTCATCCTTATTCAACACATCCTCCAAACTTTCAGTTTGATAGTATACATAATTGCAGATGCATACTAAAGCACTCAGTACTTATATTTCTCTCATGCTATTTTTGGTGTGTGATTTCTCCCTGACAGTTGTTTCCAAGATTTTGTTTGTTTGGACTTAAGGTTGCGTTCCAGTTTTAAATCTGCATTTGTGCTCTGAATTAAGAGCTTTTCCTCTTTCAGCCAGCAGCTCGCCTCGGTGCAAGTGGGCCAGCAGGCTGACCTGAGCTCAGCTGCTGCTGAGGCCCCTATCCCATTTTTGTATGTAGTTCAGGGGTATACTTTGTACTGTTTCCTCAAGGAAACCTATTGAGGTTTTGTAATTTCTATGTCACTGGCATATCCATCACTCATGTGCTTTCATTTGTCCAGAGGGCTCAGCAGCAGTGAAGCACACCCGGAGCACCCCTGGGTGCATGGTTCTCTGCTTGTTTTATTTCCACGTGTACTCCATGGGCTGTGCAAGGGCATGGTTGGTGGGCATGGCTGGGAAATGTGCTTTCAGCCCTCATTACTGATCTCAGACAGTCTGGCCAGGTAGACGCAGGCAGTCAGTTGTGCAAGTATTTATGTTTCTTTGAGGGGGAATGACTCAGCTGTGAGCATGGGTTACTCAGTGTAATAGCTGGCTCTAATATCTTTATTTTTTTAAGAATCCCAAACAAAGCAGATTCCTGCAATTTACCCTTAATTATACTTCGTCATGAATTAAATCAATATTAAAATATATATGACATCAATAAAGGTATTAATGGGGCAATGGCTTCTCATCTGACAGGCAAGGCTTCAGTTTGCGTGGTACAGGTATGCAATGGCACTATCAGTGTTCATTTGGGCTATGTAATGTAAACTGCACCCACGCTTTCACCTTTTAGCCAATACACCTTGACTCAGTAGGTGGACATGACAACAGTGCATCCTCATTCTCTTTCTTATCCACTGAAGTCTGGGGGAGTCTCACAAGTAGAGTGGCTATGTACACATGTCCCTGTGCTGAACAGCCACCCAGTGACCTCAGGTGGGTGATCTCTTTTAGACTCCAAACGGCTGGCCTCTAGGAAGTCATTCATACCAAGTAAGCAGCAAGACTCAGGAGCCGGGAGCACAATCAATTTGGATTTCTACTGCAAATTTAGTTTGCTGCCAGTTGAAGTGTCTTTATTTCCCACATTTCCGTTTTCCCTTTCTTAAAACCAGCGTGACATCTGGAAAGAAAAGCAGTTGAGCTCTTTCCTAAACAATGTGTTTTCTTGCGGGACTCTTTGCTTGCTGCTGTTCTTTCTGAAGTCTATAACTTTATTACCATATAATTAAAGGGGATCAAGAGGAGGTTCTCATTCCCTATGGGAGCATGCAGAGAAGTGAAGCTTCTACCTGCTCTTAACCTTGGAACTTCAATTACAGGTTTGGGATCTTGGAGCAGGTCCTCCCTGTTTAAGGCAGGGAGCAGGCTCCCCACTTGTTAGATGCACAAAGACTGATGTTGGCTTCCTTATTTGTTTATTTTAATTAGTCTTAAGTGCTTATTCTGGTCTCTCTTTTCAGAGAGACCAGATTTTACAAAATTAAAGTCCACAGTATGAAACTCAACACCTCTTGAGAGAAAGCTTTAGTTCTCACTCACAATAATAACAGTAATAACAGTATATTTGAATGAAGTCAGGAATTGGGATTACTAGGAGCTTCAGCCAAACTTCTGGTCAGCCTCACCCTTGTGTCAATGGAATCCCACCTAGATGTCTGCTAGGGACAGGGAAAAGGCTTCTTGCTCTTGCTGGCTCTTGGAGGATTGCATTACCATGCCTGATATCTCCAGCATAGAATCATTAAGGTTGAAAAAGACCAGTAAGGCCATCTAGTCCAACTGTAAACCTGTCACCACCATGCCCACTAAGCCCTAGCACGCCAGTCTGGGCCTGCAGCATCACTCCGCATCAAGGGTGTGGATAAATGAACTTTGCTTCCTCTCTTTTCTGTGCACACATTGTTTCAGAGCAGGACTGGAAGCTGTCCTGGTTTTGTAGGCACAGTTGTTACAGCTGTGACTTAGCAGGTGCTGACATGAGGTTTCGATGCTTGAGTTTGGTGCTGCGGGTTTTGTTGTCACATACTGAGAGCAAGATCATGTCTGTTCTGTAAAAATCTACCCTAGGATCCACATTTCTGTGCTGCCATACAACATCTGAAGGACATGCAGTTGCTCTGCATTTCAAAGAATGATTATTTCCGATATTTCAAGAGATGGTTTATTTGGACCTGCTCCTATAGCTGTATGTTTAATATATAAAAACAGGACTTCATCTTGCTGCCCCAAGAGGCCCAGTCTGTCCCATGAGTTTTCCTCCCTGGGCTAGCAATGCCCTCAGGTACTGGCCCTGGGCAGTGCAGCAGGAGTGGCTGTTGGCTGCAGCCTGCACAGCCAGTTTTCTGCTCCCTACACAGACTCATTTTTTCCCTCCTTGCATTTGAATGTGTGCTGCTGCATTTTAAAACTCCTCCAAAGTTTGCTGCATTGCTGAATATGAGGGTTAGAACATGTTCTGATTTCTATATAAAAGTTTTGAAAGTGGAAAAAAAAAAAAAAATGCTTGCAACTTTTTGGAGAATTTCTTGAGGGAGGACACTGAATTAAGGCACAGGATGACCTGAAGGCAGGGAGAGCTTCTGTGCCACACATAGGGTTTGTGACTTTCCAGTTTCAATGGAATGCTGATTGCAGGGGTTGGGTTGTTTGAAACGATGATGGTTTCTGTTTCCAAATTTGGCGTTAATAAATACTTTGAGGTCAACATAGTGGATTACTTGTTGTTAGAAACTGACCAGATTTATTAATGCCAGAAACTGTTACATAGACAAGAAATAAGTTTAAGAGATAGGTAGTAAAATTATAGTTTGCAGGCCACTTGATGCACTAAAACCATTGCTTCGTTCTTGAAGTATAAATGTAGGATTATAAGCTAGATCCCATGGATTTAGTGGTAACAGATATTTTCCTTCAATACAGAACTGTATTGAAAAAAAATCTCAATTTGCAACCGAATTATTTATCTAACATTAGAGTTCTGAAGATGATTTTAAAAGTTAATTGAGCTTAAATCTGGTTGTACTTGATTCATTTCCTGAGTCTGCAGACAGCCTTAAGCAACAACTCTGGTCCTATTCATGCCAGAGGGCTGTATTAGCTCTGACAGCTGCAGACTGCACTCTTGGCACCACCTCCTAAGCCAAAACACCTGGCTAATATACTGCTAACACAAAAATGCACTCCTTTTCTTACGTTCAACAGTTACTGCTATTCTCTGACCAATTTCTAAAACCTTGGCATTTTCTTCTGCGTCTCCATCTTTATTGAGTACCACCTGGTACTGTAGGGCTTCCGAATATGTCATTGCTGCAGAGCTCACTTCTGTTGCTGTGCTGTTACTCTGCAGTCCAGGTATGGCTCCAGCATGATGAAGTTCATTTGGGAGTCACCCAGGAGCTCCTCCACCTGCACAAATGCCCTTCTCCTGCAGCTGCCCCAGGCAGGTCACAGCCAGGATTGGGTGTTCCTTAGCTTTAACTCTGTAGAAATCTGAATATGCTGAGAATGTATAGGAATATGGTGGGACTGGGAGAAAACCTGTCTGTACTTTCTGAGCTTTTATGGAGAATTGTGTGGAGACCTTGGAGGGCCATGTTCGTGGGAGCAGAGCCTTGCTGCTGAGCTCGGAGTGGGCATTTCAGAAACAACAAGCCTTGGGCTTAGCCAAAATGTGATTTATGCTGGTTCAGCTAACTTGAGTTAAAAGATCATTGTGAAATACTCGAGTTTTTGTATGTGGCTGGGATTTTTGTGGGAGTAGCGCTCCAATTTCAACATAACTGTGTTAATAAGGATACAGAAGCTGGACGTGTGTTCTTTTGGTCTATTGGTGAAGGTCAGGTGGAGTGAGATGAGTGAGAAATAGGCTCCAGGTGGCCCTGGTGTTTCAGGTGCCAGTTAGCAGTCTGAAGTGGCAGTTTTGCCAGTTCAGGTGCAATTTTTGCTTGAAACTTATTCAAGTTATGTTTTCTACAGAAAATGTGGTCTTTGTAATACCAAATGCAATATAAAGGAAATAATTTTAAAAATTGGTACCTCATTTCATACATCCTTCTCCTTGCTCTTTATTTTTTTCCTCAAACTTAGTTCAAAGCTAGTAGAGGTTTCCTCCCACACAGTAGCTGAATGGCCTCTGAGCTTGGAAGACCTTTGTAAGAGTTTTAGCCCAGGATCTTCAGCCCTGCAGAGATTAAACAAATGAGAATGATAGAGCTTATCCTATTCAGCCACAAATCTTTAAATCTGACTTGAGAGAGCATGAGCTTCTCATGGAACAGTGTGGAACTGGGGCAGCTTGAGATGCCCAGAAAGGGCTGACTAGTCCATATTCCCATGGCCTCAGTTTTATTTTGTGGTCCTGTTACACACACAACCAAAAAGCATTCTCTCTTGCACCCCACCAGCTGTCACCGAACATGTCCATGGTGCTAGGCTCAGGTGGGAAAGCATCATCATACAGAGTAGTTTTACACTTGGCACGGGGTAAGGGACAGTCTTGTTTTTAGAAATCACAGGTTTTTAAAAGTACACTTTGCACAGAGAAGCTGAAGTACTTTGTTAGATAGGTTTACTGTAATCTAAAGTCGAGGACTTGGTTCATGTAGTAGCAAAGTATTGTGTGTTTGTTATTTTAATTAGAGATAGCAAAACGAAGGTGTTACCAGTTTCAGGAGACAGGTAAGCGTCTGGTCTGGCTTTAATTATTAAAGCAATTGCAAGAAATGTAACAAGTATTCATTAGTTCAGCCTAATTATTCATTGTCGGGATGAAACTTCAGTTCCTATGAGTTCTGGAGCTGCTCACTGCAGTCCCTATCACCTTTTTAGTGGTATCCTAGTGACTGCATTTCCTATTTGCTCCTACGGGTGAGATCTAGAGGTATGATGGAGCACTGTTTTGCCTTTTTCCCAGGATGAGCTGGATGAACTGCGAGCTGAAATGGAAGAAATGCGTGACAGTTATTTGGAGGAAGATGTTTACCAGTTGCAGGAGCTTCGGCGAGAGCTGGACCGGGCAAACAAGAATTGCCGCATTCTGCAATATCGTCTCAGGAAAGCAGAACAGAAAAGCCTGAAAGTTGCACAAACAGGCCATGTGGATGGAGAGCTCATTAGGAGCTTGGAACAAGATTTAAAGGTAGGTGAGAGATTTGTATTCACAGCGAAAGGGAGAAGAGCGAGGTTTGGCTCCCTGTAAGGGAAGTGAGGGTGACACATGAAACAGGCAGAAGTTCTCAAAACGTCAGCACCAATTTCCTTCTTCAGCAGTGGAAAACAAATGTTCAGCTTCTCATCTTAAGAAGATGCACTAGCAAGTAAAAAACATGTGCTTAGCCTCAAATGAAAGATAGGCTGTCGAAATTATATTGCTGCACTTGAAAGATTTAAAGGGTTTTGTTTCACTGGCATTACTCAAAACCTTAGATTTCCAAAACTGTTTAAACAAACCCTGATATGCTTCTCCCAATTCATACTGTTTCCTTCCTTTCACTTCTTGCCTAAGTCAATAACTGAAAAAAAATAGTCACCATTTCATTTCTTCTTGCCTAACAAGCTATTCTCATACAGGAACAGACTGTTACAACGTCTTAGAGAAACAGAGAATAGAAATGCTATTCACATAAAAACAAATTCCTGTTTAAAAAAAGAAAAAAGAAAAGAAACAGTGTTCATACTGAAACAATTTTCATATTTTTCAGAAATGTTTCCATCAAGGCTAAGCTTTGTATAAGCATGATGCTTATCTAGTTTTACTTCTTATTTTTCCAACTATCGCCACCATGTAGCTGTTTTGAGAACAGTTAACGTCTGGAAGTAGTAAGCATTTGGTACTTGAAAATGCATAACATAAAACCTTCTGAAGTTGGATTTGTTGGTTCCCAGCAGTGGAAATCTGAGTGACGTATCAAGTGATCAAACCTTTCAAAATGTCAGACTCGATTCTCTCTTTTATGGCAGGAACCAAGTGATAACCTTATCATAATAGAAGTGACAGATTATTCGGCAAAAATCTTGGCCATGGGTATCCAATGTTTTGGCTTGCCTGGGCCACACTGAGTTTCCATGGAAACTACAACGGATACTGAGGGCACAGTAACACTATTAGAGCAAATTCTCAGCTGTACAACACTGTTTTCACTGTTTACACAACTGTTTAGCCAGCATATCAAAATCCATAAACTTATTTGCCATAACTTGAATTGGCACTGTACTGCACCCTCCCCATGCCCTGGTGTCAGCCCAGATGGGGTTAGTAGTGCACTGATGTTTGGTCGATGCTGAGTGACAGTTGTGCGCCTGGGGCCAGGATGGGTCACTGGTTGGGTGTGCCTGATCTTGTCCATAGATCCAAATGAAGGAGATCATCATAGAATTATAGAATGGCTTGGGTTGGAAGGGACCCCAAGGATCCAGTTCCGATAATGAGTTTCTTAATTTTCTTGCTTTGTTTTTGCTGAATTTTTGTAATTCAGTAATTCACCATTTTGTGTGATGAATCACTGTTCTGAATTGTTTGGTAATAAATATTCTTTCCTGTTAGTCTGGACTCATAAAAGCTAAGCTAGAATATATTTCTGTTTTCTTATCGCTCCTGCCAAGGTGTGATTGCTGCTAGAGAAGCAAATCTGGGTAGATGAGACTGTTGCATGGATGTGGCTTTGATGGATGACCTGTCAACTGTAAAGCACTGTATCTTTCATTTTATCCGTGTGATATGTTGGGACTTTGATGTAAAGGCTTCATATCTGCTTGTTTCCTCCTGCTGTCCATGACGTTGCCTTATCATAATGTAGAGAGGATGGATAATCAAATGTGTGTTCATTTTGGATTAGAAATGAATATTCATTTTGGTATTCAGAAGTCTTGGAGCCTGTAATCGGCAGTTTCATAACTGAATTGAAAATCTGTTGACTGTCTCTTGGATGCTTCCTTCTGCAGAAAATATTCTATAGGTGTATTCTATTCCTCGTGGATCCTCTTCATGTGTTTGTGTTTTTCTGACCAGGTAGCCAAAGATGTTTCTGTCAGACTGCACCATGAGCTGGAGAGTGTGGAGGAGAAACGTGTTAAAGCAGAAGATGAGAATGAAGTCCTGCGGCAGCAAATCATCGAGGTGGAGGTATCCAAGCAGACGCTGCAAAATGAGCTGGACAAGCTAAAAGAGGTAAGCAATAATTGGGAAAACAGTGCAGAAGAATATTGGTAGCTAAGATGGAAAATTTGGCACACAGGACTAATTCTTGCGTGACATGCATGCAGATATTGCTTGTGCAACTGTCTAAAAGGTCTCATTCCCTTTGTTGCACATCTCAGGTGTGTTGGTAATTTACAAATGGCAGAGGGGTAGGTGAGTGGTGTTGTGTGCCTTGTCCTGGGCTCTTCACAGGGTTTCTGTCTCGTTTTGAAACCAGCTTCTGTCAGCCTCTTTCTATTGGAGCAAAGCTGCCTTTGATTTGCGGCCAGCGATCTGATTCCCCTTTACCCAGACCAGGACTTCCACCTATTTTAGAGTCAAATGAAGTGTGTGTGACTCATCCCTGAGAGGTTAACTTGGATAGGCAAGCTGCCGCCTTGGCTGCTGCTCTTCAGTGGTGACAGTGGGAGCCACCAGCATGAGTTAGGCAGCAGGAATGTGGTCTGTAATGTATAAATAACATTGCACTTCGGGCACAGAAACACTGTCTGTTGAGAAGAGGGATCATCTCAATTGGAGCTGACATGTAGTCGTACTGGGTGAAGTGATGATCCTTGGAAGCAAGTGAGCTAGGAGCAGGGGACAGTAAAGGAGAGCCAAATACTAAATGTGTCCATATCCCGGCCTGTAGCAGTATTCCTGCTCTCTTGTTCATGCAGCAGATTGGCAGCTCTCAGCCGCTGCTCAGTTCTAAACCAGATTGAGATAGAACATTCAAACTTAATGAGGTAAGGCATTTATCCTCTGAGCCCTGGTCAGATTTAGAGAGCTGGTGCAATTATGTGTTATTTTAATCTTTCAAACAATGCTTACAAGTCAACTGGCACAAAGCCCGTTTCAGTTTCCTAAGGACAAACTCTATATTATTTCTCTGTGTGTTTTGAGTTCCGAGGATGAGGCAGTCCAGAACAAGAGTTTTGAAGCATTTTGTACGTAATGGAGAGATTATCAGCAGTTGTAAACATCAGCATTGCTATGATAGCATCTGCTAAGGAGGACAAAAGGAAAGACTGGGTGATATTTTCTTTTCTTCTTTCTCAAGGTTGTTTGTGAATGCTGTGCTTAATGGACATGATGGCATGTTACAGGGTACTCAGTGTATATTTCACACAAAAATACCACGTCACTGCAATACCTAATGCCATTTGTTGTTGATTAACTCACAGTTTGCTAGGTATTGCTAGACGGTCTTCAGGATTATAAACAGCTTGAAGAAACTAGGTTGTGAATTGTGGATTCTCAAACTTAACTCTAACCAGGCTGAATTTACTCTGCTCCTTACATGGCTAAGCTGAGCAGGGAAGCTCAAAAAACTCAGCTGTCTTCTGCTATGCAAGTAGAAGTGAGATACCCTCACTTTGGAAGCAGAATTGCCCCCACTTAGGGGCAAAGACTAGTAGAGAACTAGGAAAAGAGGAGTGGTGCAATGATGGGATATATACATTCTGATCTGGGCACATAGTAAGGCATAAGGTGTAGTAGTCACAGTGGGTGGTTTTTCATGCTATGACTGGTGTTATATCTGGAAGGCAGAAAAAATGTCACAAGGTCACCGTGGGTTAGAATAGGGAGGTTTAAATCCTCCATGGGTCACATGAGGACAGATGAGCCAGAAGTTTGAAAACACAGTGATATTTGTGCCATTAGAGTGTTTGCAAAGTAGTTTACATATGGCTGAAAAGTATAAATTAAAAAAAAAAAAAAAAACCAAAAAAACCAAAAAAACCAATTCTCTTGTCCCAAAAAATGTGTTCAAATAACTACGGGAAGAGATTCCTCTTTACATTTAATGTGTACAAAGCTCTAAAAGAATGTATTACGGTCATGCCAGTAGTAAAACCAGTTCTTTATATGCCAGGAGAAAAGTGACCCAAAGGCCATATAGCTTCTTCCCATTCCACTCTGCCTGTGCATCTTGTCTATCCACCGGCTGGCACTTCAGAGGAATATCCTTCCTGCTCAGCCCTGGAGCATTGCCCAAGACCCCATTAGGTAGCGTTCACTCCCTGATGCAGCTTACTGTCTCCATATGCTAATTTTCTGTAATATCCTTGACTGCTTGCAGCCCATTTCATCTGTCTTCTGATCTATAGAAAGATTTTCTCATGTCTATGTTCGTGTTCTCTGTTTAATTCAGTGCTAACTTCTTTGTCCTGCTATACAACTCCCTCAGGTCTAATTTCTTACTGCAGCAAATAGCATGTATATTGATTGCCTTTAATGTATTTTTTCATATCAGAATTGTACACATCTCTGAAAGCAATCTTTCTTTAAAGCTACCTTCATTTTTATAATGTTCTTTTGAAGAATTCCTAAACAGTTTTGAGGTTCAGAGGAGGTACGTATTCTTTCATCTCAGTGCCTATTTCTACCTTGTGTGATACTTTCAGCATTTTCTGTGTGAAATACATACAGATTTGCTCAATCTAGATAAAATTCTTAATCTCCTTCAAGAAAGCCCTGCAGTTTTAGCTGGGGTATTAATTTTTGCCTTATCCTGACTGCATAATTTCAGTAGATAGGAGATAAGCTTTCCTGCTTAGTCACTAAATAACAGTTCTCAGCTTTGCAATTAATAGAAGCGACATTACAACAAAGAGGAAGGTTGACAAGAAGTCATCTGTCATGGCCTGTGCTGTGTTCTCATCTCCTGCTCTGCTGCTGCGTTGCAGCTAGTGCAGTTTCCTTCCCAGATGCTTTTGGATTCCCAGTTCACAATGTGTTCTCATAAGCTTTTGAATAATCTATCAAAAAATACATCTAGATTCTTTTGTTTTGTTCTGGTATCTTGCCATTATCAAAATATTCTGTTTTCCACTGACGATTCCAATAAAGAGCCTCCTGATCACAGGTGAAACACCACCTCTCTCTCTTTCTCATTTTCCCCTAGGCATGCTGCGTCCCAGCAGCCTTTCTTAGCATTTCCCATAGATGTGTTTTGAGCTGGGGTATAGATGAGTATTTTGAGCAGCAGTTTTAGATTTTATCTGGTTTTTAGGTTTGCTAATTAGAAACTATTATTCTCTAATTGTGTTCATCAGCAGTCTGGAATTCACTGTGTTAAATCATGCCACTTCATTTTTTTTTTTCAGTTTTCTTAACCAAAAGATATTATGGAGCTTTCCTTTCCCCTAATTATTCTTTTTTACTCCTTTCTTCTTCTCCCCCCCCACCCCCTAATTTTGATGGTGTGTTTTTTTCCCCCACTGTAAAGTTTAATCACTCTTTCCTGAAATGCTTCCACTGGTTCTTTTGAAACTATTTCTTTTACTGGATAATAGCGTTTCTCTGAATATTTCCTAACTTTACTGGCGGTGCCAAGTTGTTCTCCTTCTGCCTGCTCCAAATGCTGCAGTACTCCAAGTGGTTCATTGAATTCTTTTCCCACAATTACATTCACCTACTTTTTCAGTTTTCCTTTTTTTATTATTATTACCCCGGTCTTTTCAGCTGGTTTGGGGCCTCCCTTTGATGCCTTTTTTTTTGTGGCAGCTGCTTATTACTTTCTCCAGAGCTTCCGAGTTTTCCTACTGCTGTGAATGCTTCTTTGTAGTACATCCTTTGCAAAATTGCCATGTCCCTGAGAGCTGCCCCTTCTAGGAATTTGCTAGGATCTTCTGTGACTTACCAAAGCTGCTGCTTCCCTAGAGCTTTAAAAGCAAAGGCCGTGTTCCATCGCAATGTGGATAAGTATGTGCATCACTACCAGGGTTTGCATGCTTTTTTCTTTTGTTATCTAGGTGTCTAGGTTATTAACAGGGACAGTTGAGGAAATAGAGAGCCAGTAGAGTTAAAAACAACAACAACAACAACCACAAAACAAAAAAACAAATGACTCTGTCACTGGCACATCACTTCAGCAGCTTCCCTTCAACTGTCATTTTTTCCTTCCTTGTTTCCTAATTCAGCTCATAAGAAATGCTGCTGTAGGTTGATCATTTCTGAATGCTTCGTGGTCAAGTTAAAACTCTTTCCAAACTTTTCTTTCTTTGGCAAAATGATGGAAATTCTGGAAGTAAATATGTAGAGGGATGCAAAATCAATTTTTTAAAAGTTAGGACAAATCTGAACCGGTTGCTTATATAACTGCAATTACAAACTTTCATTTGTATTCATTAGCATACACTTTTTAATTGTATCATCCAATGTTTTTTCTGCTGTACCCTTGCCTCATGCAGTGTACATATGGCTCATTTCTGCTGAATGGTTTCTACTCACGTGTTAATAACAGATAAGCTTTCTTGTTAAGCAACTGGTTAGTCTTCTAACTCTGGAATATATTCTCCATGCACCAGAAGGAGAGGCCAGTGTTGCTTTAAATCTGCAGTCATTTCCACTGGTTCAGTGGTGGAACCGCTGAAAAAGGAACTGAATTCCTTTAAATTCATGTGAGTGCATGCTCATGCATTGCTCATGCATTGCTGAGTATTAATTCTATTAATTTGAATAAGGCAGTAGTTTATTTTTTGTACACTTAAACTTAGTTTTACTTAAATCATGGGAGAAAACATTCCCTTAATCAGAGGCTCTAAAACATCGATGCAAAACTTGTACCAGCTCTCTGAGATGCTCTCTCAGCATCTACAAAGGTGGTAAACTTTCCCAAAAGTGCAACTTTGACAACAGCACATGGGTTTCCTTTGAGATGTGAACATCCTTCCCTCTGCAGCTAACCCATCCTAATTGTCACTTCTTTGGGGCCAGGAAGGCACTTTTAGGGAAGATTTTCCCTTTATTTCCTTGGCCTCACTCTGGAAAGTGTTTAAACCTTTCTTGCCCTCTGTCCCCAGCTTGAGGCAGTCTCTCAGCTAAGATGTTTCACAAGTAGATGATCTGGAAATTTAAACAAGTGTGAAATCATGTTTGTAAAGTGTCTGATGATAATTCCCTTGCAAGTGGTATCTCCCAGGATAACGCTCTCTCTAAACTTCAGTACCTGGGGAAGAATGAACCACCTCTGCTATTTACAGTAGAAATGAGCTCAAAAGGCACAGGACCTGCTTCTGGCTTCTCTGGGAGTGAGCTGTTCTCTTACTTGCAGCTGCCAACTGTGTATTTTTGCCTGTCCTTTGTCTGGGTTTGGGCTGTGAGCTGGGGAAGAGAAAGAAGCTGTGCCGAGATCATGAGCTGCTTGGGATGGGCAGACAAAGGCTTGGGAGGATTAGGGGAGCAGCTGCAGAAGATCTGACATGAGTGCTATGGTTTAGCAAGAAATGAATGAGAACTGTGTCACTGGGAAGAAAGGGGCATTTATTGCTGGGGGACAGCCATGCTGAGCAGGTGACAATCTGTGTATTGCCACTGAAGCAGCAGGGCCAGAAGGGAGCACCATCCGTGCCTCCAGCCTTCCAGGCTGTCATGATGCAGGCCAGGTGCCCTGCTGCAGGCACAGTCATTTGGGGAATTACTCCCGCTTGGTGCAGAACCATTGCTGCTGCTCATATCCACTGGTGGTGTTACAGAGAAAGACAGAGGCAACATGAGAGAGCAAGAAAAAACATTTCCGCTTATTTCCACATGAGAGGAGAGAAGTGGAAATCCATTGGCCGTTAGTAATCTCTAACATCTCCCTAGGATACAAATAGAGATGAGAAGCAGTGCATGCAATAAATGGGACTTTCCAGGTTACCCTTGGACATATTAGTACAATGACTTCTCCCAAGACTCTTTCATCTGAGGATCGTCACTTGCTGATGGGGATGCTGTCACACCACAGCCTACCCTCTCCTCCACCCGTGCAGTACTTGGTTTTGGAAGCACAGTTTGAGAACCGTTTCTGATACTTTCAAAAATGGTAGAAATACCTGAAATGAAATATATTTTAAGCATATTATTTATGGACGGTTTTGCTCCAGAATATGTATACACTGCTCTGTTTTACATCACTGAAGGTAGTGAGCATGTTTGTGATAGAAGAATATACTATAGCTCTCTCATTATAGTAAGCAAAATGAAATCTGCAGCCTGCTTCCTAGAACTGAGTGTGATGGCCTGATTTTCATCACCTTGAACATACTAAGTAGCACACAATACATACGGCATATGGTTAAATTATTTCAGTCTGAAGTCTCTTCTCTCAACCATTTGCACCATAGTGCAAAGTAATATGCAAGAGGCAGAGAAATTATTTTTGGTAAAAAATATATTTGTTTGTAGAAAATACTGCCCACATTTTCATTAGCTGGGAGTTCATGTGCATTTACTAAGGTAGCACATAGTTCTGCAATCGTTTCCCAAATGAAACTGTCCTGAAGTGGGTGAAATAGGACTCAGCCACGAAGTGTCTGATTTCTGTGGTGTATACATTTTCTTAGTTGGCAGTGATTTTAAATGATGGAAATTTGCTGAGAAATGGACAAAGAGAAGACCTGCAAGCCACAGATGCAAATAACATTAAGAGCACTGAGCAAAATCGTCATCTTGACTTAGTAACCCCCCTGCTTAGAAGTTACTGCTTGTGACAGTTCTAAGTAATGAAGTTTTCTACAATAATCATAACAAAACCCATTAACTGCCTGAAAATTTTACTGAAGCATCACTTTGTCTTTTTTTTTTTTTTTTTCTTTTTCTTTTTTTTTTCTTCTATGATAAATAATGAATTGGTACTTAAATCACAGTGAATGATTTATTATCATTATGGCATTTCAGGAGCTGTAGAAGTA